CCAACTTAAATAAATCCATTATGATATTGAGTAAGATGTAACTTTAGATAGAGCTTGACTTATTGTAAAATTTTAAAAACTTTGATCTTGATCCATTGACCTTTTCAAACATATTTATCCTTTCTTTCTTCATACTTGTAGTAGCAAGACTTTTTAAAGTTAGGCATGAACTTGATCAATTTGATTTTCTTAATTACATAAATTCTTGGCATAGATTTTGAACTTTATTGTTGATCTCTTCTATAGGTGTTGGAATACTATATCTATGGCTGATATTAGAAATACATGAGATTTCTACCTTAAGAATATTGACAAGCTCATAAAGGTCTATTATGGTTGTAAATCTATTCTCACTTCCATAAAAAATAGTATCTATAATTCTTTCTTCTATAGACAATTTAAAAGAATTTATAAGTCAAATTAGAGGAAATTAATCTACAACCTCTAATATCAAATAAAAAGTTTTACAAAAAAAGATGGTCTATTTTTTTTTAATAAAAAATTATTATTAGGGAATTAAAATATTAGATTAAAGGTAGATAGTTTAAAATCTTTAAAATCTAAGAATAGAAATAGAATAGTCCATTCACTTCTAAAAATAAAAAAAGAAGAATGAACTAGCATTCTTGTCAAATTATTAAAGATATGAATCTTGAAGAACCCAAAACTCAAAATACTCTTATATAACTCAAAAAGAATAGATATTCATTCAAATTTAATATAGTATTGAAATGAGAATGGCTATTGCCAAAAATAAGATGACAAGATGACTAGAAAGTCTTAAAATAAGATTAAGGACTAGAAAGGCATTAATCACAATAGAGAAGGCTTCATTCTTGCCTCTATATGTACTATCTAATTAGAAGCTATATGGCAATATTCTATAAGACTTCCAATACATGTCTAACTTGTAAGTTATGTGTTTAACTTATAAGACAAGTTTTTTATATGTGTGCGATGTAGTTAATTTGTTCTATAAGCTAGTAGCACGTGCAACACATGGCTAATTTATTGGCCAAGTTTCAAACCTATCAATTAACTACAAATACATTTAAAGTCAAGTATGCATCTATAAAGCTTTTAAGAAGTTATATCATAAGATAATATCAAATTTACCTATATTTATCTTCTATCTAATACTTCTTATTTAAATAATTTTTTTATAACTTATTATTTATTTTATACAATCATATTTATTTTATTTTTTTCTTACTTTTCTTGGAAGTTTTGTTATATCATGGAAAAACACGATAAAATTCCAATTAAGTTATTTGATCTTATTTAATTTTTAATCTCAAAATACCATACAAAAATAAATTTTGAAGCTAAGAAAGTTTTACAAGTTGTTAATAGTCTTGAAAAACGACCTATTCTTGATACAATTTATGCCACTCTTGAAGATTAAGTATTACTTGATACTTAGGATGAAAAGAATGCTAATGCTTGGATATTTGTAAGTAAGTTTATCTCTCAAAAAGTACTTAAAAAAATTACCAATTACTAGATAAATATTAAGATGTGCCTAAAACTATGCTTTCTTTATTTGAAGCAAATTCTTAAGAGTGTTTTCACTCTTCATAGAATTTTTTTTAAATATGAAGTGAAAATCATTGATAATATATCATCTTATATTCAAATCTTTCATCAAATGAAGTTGATGATAGATCAATTAATTGGACTAATTAGAAATTCCATTTCTAACCTTTTCCTACCTTCTATTGAGTCAAAAAGACATACAATTGGATTATAATATTTACAATATAGGCAATCAGGACATTTGGTCTAATTTTTTAATTCCATTCCTCTATAAGACCAATATTTTTAACTATATGTTAGGAACCATATAAGATAAGGATTCAAGATCAAAGAATGGAGTTAACTTGAATATAAATAGACAAGATTAAAAGAATATAAACAAGCTATAGTCATGAACTCAAACTACTGACTTATACTATTTAAAATATTTGACAACAACTGCCTCTTCAAAAGTTGCCTCCTCTTCTTCTTTATGAAGCCAAGAACTAAGAATCTTCATGGTGAAGCCATCTTACCAAGCTATTGTTCTTCATTTTGTCGCTTTTGGTCTAAAAGGATGTTGTTGATAGAACCTTCAAACCTTCATTTGTACATTTATAAGATTACAAGCTAGTTTCTACGTGCAATTGTTGATATCATAACCGTACCAATGGACCACATATTCAAGCCTTCTATGTCTTATCCTTGAATCTAATACCTCTTCTATTTCAAATTCAATATGATCATTGATTTCAACCATAGAAAGTAGTAGTTGTCTTCAACCTGGTATGTTCGATTCTTTATACCTTTTCAAAAGTAAAACATGAAAGACTGGATGAATCTTCATAAATGAAGGTAATTTCAAGTTATAAGTTATGGAATTAATTTATTTTTCAATCACAAATGATTCCAGTCTTTGATAGTCTAACTTATTACATGGTTTTTTGGTTTTTATATTGACCCAAAGAAGCCATACTTTTTCAGCAACTTAGAATAAAAGATGTTCCTTCTTCATTTCATCTGCCAGAAGCTTATAACATTGTTGAGTCCTTTTTAGGTGAGTCTTCATGGTTGCCTAAAGTTTAGTCAACTTTGGAGCAAATTCCACTGCAGTTGGATATGTCGACTATTGAAAGGTATTTTTCAAAATTCTTAAGTTTCACATCAACCTTTCTTCTACCTTCCACCCTCAAACTGATGGCCAAATGGAGTGGATCAACCAAATCCTTGAGCAATATTTGAAGTGTACCATCAACTATCAATAAGACTATTGATAGTATATTTGATATGTATAATCTTCTTCAAATATTTTGTACTTATTGCTAACTTAGTTGTTGCAAGGTGTACAAATTTTGAGTCAAAATCAACAATTGAATTACTAGTTATTGAATTTTTAATTTTCTATAGAATTTATTAAGAATTTATTTGAAATTTAGGATTTAATTAAGAATTGGTTTAAATTAGTTTAAAATATAAGATTTGATTAGGATTGATTTAAGTTCTAAGATTTGATTAGGATTTTTTTAGGATTTAGTTAGGATTCAGTATTTAGGATTCATCTAAAATTTAGTTAAGATTTGAAATTTTGTTTAGATTTGATTAGGATTTGGTTAAGATTTGATTAATATTTGATTATAATTTCATTAAGATTAGTCTAAGATTTATGATTTTATTAAGGTTTCATTAAGGTTTGACTTAGGATTAGATTAAGATCTATTTGGATTTCAATTAAGGTTTCAATTAGAATTTGACCTAGGATTTATTTAGAATTTATTTAAGTTTTTTATTTTAATATTTTTTAGGTTTCTTTATTATTTCTTTAAAATTTTTGTTTCTAATATTTCTTTAAAATTATTATTATTTCTTTAAAGATTTATTTTTATATTTTTTGATTTATTTTTTTATTTTTATTTTTTTAGATTAATTTATGACTTCTTTGTGTTTCTTTTGAAACTTCTTTTAAATTTATTTTGGATTGGTTAAAGTTTGATTAGATTTATGAAAGATTACTCAAAGTTTATTTAAGACTCTATCAGATTTGATAGGATTGTTATTACATTTTTACTTATCTTTCACAATTAGGTACCCAATGCATTCTCAAGCAAGAACATACGTAATACAACAACATTATCTTTCTATTGGCTCTATTTTTCTTCATTATCAAAGATACATTACTAACGTCATCCTCTATTTTGGCTTCAAAGATATCCATGAAGTCTCAATTCCTATTGATACTCATGCCAAACTTTGGAAAAATAGAGATCTTCATGACTCCAAAGTTAATGTCCTTTACCAACAAGGTGTTGGTTGTCTCACATATACAATAATTATTACACAACCTAATATTGATAATGTTGTCAATAAGGTCTTATTTTTTTAAGAATGTCCATGATAAAGTCATTGAATAATAATGAAACAAACAAAGAATATCTTAAATAAACAAAGGACTATGGTTTATACTACAATGCTCAAATAGTACCACTATGGCTCATTAGCTATGCGGATGCAAGCTTTGGTAATAATCTAGATGATAAGAAGAGTTGTATTCGTTTTGTTTATATCCTTACTTCTACTACAATTATATAGGGTAGTAATAAACAAGGTTGTCTAATGACATCAACAACCATTGCTAAACTTGTGGAACTTGTTGAATCAACTAAAAAGACAACATAATTATGTTCACTCTTACATATGCTTGGTATAGCTCAAAAACTTCCTACCATTGTATATTGCAACAATCAAGCTGCCATTTCTCTAATAATGAATCTTGATAACCATTCTTGCACAAAACATAACGACATGAAATATTTTACAATTTGTGAATATTACAAGAATAATTTGATGGATTTTAAACAAATTCATATAAATGACTAAATTACTGAGATCCTTACAAAACCATTATCATGTGATGCTTTCCAATGCTTACATTGTTTAATGAACCTTTGGCCTTTCCACAAGAATGACCGGGAGGAAAATAAGATTTAGCAAACTTCTTTGTAGAATATGTTTGGATGAGTGGAAATGTTGGATGAAACAACCAAACATATTCTACATCCAAAGATAGTCTATCTATCCATTTGTTCTACTTAGGTTTTCAATTGTCTATATAAGTTCATGTTTACAATGTTGATGTTTTGGTTCATTATAGAAACAACTGGAGAGTGTCTGGGAGTGTCTGGGAGTAAGAGAAAGAACAAGTACAATGTTAAGCTCTGAAGTCACTATATTCATTATAGAATTGAGTATCAATAAATATAGATGAGTTTACAGCTTAACTGCTTGTGTGCTTACAGAAAGAATAAAATTCTCTTAACAAGACTAGTATGCCTCAAAAGCGAAGTACGCCACCTATCCTGAGTTTGCACCCTAGTTGAAAAAGAACAAAGAAAGCAGCGAAACCATCTAGCAGCCTGACTACGAGGTGAGATTCATACAAGGTGATCTGAGGGACTATCATCATCCAGTCTAGAGTGCAGACATGCGAATTGACGTGGGCAACAAAAGCATTTCGTATTCCTGTGATAGAACCGAGCTTCACTGGGTACTTATGTCGCACTTCGTTTATGATAACTGGATCTGATATCGGCAATCACAAATTCGAGTGTCCTAAGCCAAAAGATTATCAACTATAAACTGTACTCCTATTATCCAAAGGGTATGATACTGTTCATAATAGAAAGTTTTGCTCTTCCAAGCTCTTTCTCAGTACCGTCCCTACATGTAGCACACCAACTAAGAGCGAATTAGGTTGGTCAACGCAGGGTTCTCGAAATTCATTATGGCCCATGGTTAATAGGAGCTGCTCTGTAATCTCAGCACACGTAAGCAGGATGTATCCGAGCCTTGATAACTGGACATGAGATCGAAACCAATCCCAAGACATAGAAACTGTCGTTACGTGCCACTGAGCCCCGAAAATATCCTTCAAGAACTAGTTGGAGTGAACAACAAAACTGCAAATCCTGTGAAGAAAACTGAGTCAAAAAATCATATACATTACATTTTAAAAAAGGTGTGCTTCACACTGATAGTGGGCACATCAACCCAGCCTATATCTTACAAGGGTGAGGAGATTGGTACGAAATGCAACAGCTCCGCATGCCAGTCCCCATTTCAATGCAGCAAGCCCGAAATTGAAGCACCTCTGCGCCGTTCGGGCTGCGAGAGCAGAGGTGCACTACAGCACGACAGCACCTTCCGCATCCACTCTGCCTGCGACAGGGCCACATTCTCACCATCCTTCCACAACTGCACCGCGATCGTGGCTATGGCGGCCCCTCCCTCCCTCCATCAGGGCCTGGGGACCCCAGTCCCTCTTCCACTCCACTTCCCCAGCCATTGCTGCCTCGTCGCCGAAGCAGACGCTCCGCGCTCCAGCGTTGCAAAATTTTACACCCACCCTGGGAGTTGATGCAGGAATCCTGTCAGCATGAGAAGGGTCCCGGTGCTCCGTTCCATCCTCCGATGCACTCCAGCAGCGGAGCCACGTGCTTGCCCTCGCAGATGGCGTCGTATACCTTCTCGATTTCCTGGCCGGGTGAGATGGTGCGCAGTCCCGACAGAAGCTGCGTCTTCAATCCGTTGCGCACGAACTTGTACAGCGGGTACGTTCTGCAGTTCTCGATCCTGTTGGGCACCGGCGAGTAGCCCTTGTTGTCGTATGCTTCCCGAATCTGTGGCACCTCCGTTTGCAGCCTCACCTTGAGTTCCTCCTCGAACGCCGCGATGAGATTGAAGGTCGAGCTGGCCGCCTGCTTGTCCGACTTGTTGGTCTGCAGGGCGTGCTGGACGAGCGCCTGTCGCAGCTTCTCCATGAGAGGATACGTGCCGCTGGCTGCGTCGTCGATGTACGTGAACACGGGCTGGTGATCCACCACTCTGAGGAGGTCCTTCTCGGCGAACCTGGCGGGCAGGAGGGTGCCATCCGCGGGGTTCATGAACAGCGTCTTCTTCGCCACCTGCGTGACGATGCTCTTCACGGCCGCCTGCATGGTCTCCTCGACGTGGCGCAGGTCGATGGCCTGGCACAACCCGACCAAGAATGTGGACGTCATGAGCTTGAGGATCTCGATGGCCTCCTCGGTTTTGCGCGCGGACACGAGGCCCAGCGAGTTGACGTCCTGGTTGTGCTGCTCGGCGCTCTGGACGTGGGTGGTGACCGGGTTGGCGAGGTAGTTGAGCTCGGACAGGTAGGAAGCCATGGCGATCTCCGCGCCCTTCATGCCGTAGTCGAGGCTGGGGTTGGGCCCTCCGCTCAAGTTGGATGGCAGGCCGTTGTTGTAGAAGTCGTTCACGAGCTCGCTGAATTGCGCGAACATGAGCTTCCCGATGGCGGCCACGGCGAGGCGCATGTTGTCCATGGAGACGCCGATGGGCGTGCCTTGGAAGTTGCCGCCGTGGAGTGCTCTGTCTCCCGCGGCGTCGATGAGGGGGTTGTCGTTGACGGAGTTGATCTCCCGCTGGATGGAATGCGTGGCGTTGCGGATGGCTTCCACCTGAGGCCCCAGCCACTGCGGCGAGGTGCGCAGGGCGTACCGATCCTGCTTGGGCTTCTTCAACGGGTCCGTCTCGTGCAACTTGGCAGCGGCCTTCATGTAGGAGCTCCCGTCGAGGAGGTACTCCATGATGGCCGCGGCCTCCATCTGACCCGGGTGGTGCTTCAGCTTGTGCGTCAAGGGGTCCGCGAACTCTGGCTTCCCCTGCATCACTTCGCAGAACAGCGCGGACAGCACTTCGGCCATGACCGCCAGGATGTTGGCGTCGAAGCAGGTGGTGGAGGCCAGCGCCGATCCCACGGCCGTGCCATTCACCATGGCCAGCCCCTCCTTGGGCTGCAGCTCGAAAGGCTTGTCGATGCCCGCCATCCGCAATGCTTCCACGGCCGACACCGTGCTGCCATCCTCGGTGACCGCCTCGGAATTGGGCCTGGCAGTGAGGAGACCTGCAATCCATCGCACATCCACGTGATGTCAGCATGGAATCGACCACGGCAACCTCCGAGTCCAGAATGAGTGAGACAGCAGGATGCTGGTGGAGAAGGGAGACACACACATACCAGCGATGTACGACAGCGGGACGAGGTCGCCGGAGGCTGTGATGGTGCCTCGGAGCGGCAACTTGGGCGTGACTTGGGAATTGAGGAGCTTCTCCATGGCTTCCAGAATCTCCCACCTGATGCCGGAGAATCCCTGCAACAATGTGTTGGTCCGCACCAGCATCGCAGCACGCGTGGTGGCCACCGGCAGCGTGTTTCCGGAATTCACCACTCCGGCGTTCAAGAACCTGATGAGTTCCCGCTGCAGCTCCACTCCCTGCTGCGTCCGGCGATGGGAAGTGGCGCCGAAGCCGGTGGTGACACCGTAGATGTCGGATCCGCGCATGATCTTGTTCAGCACCCAGTCGGAGCTCTGGTCCACGAGCTTCTTGGCGGTGGCGGCATCCAAGCGCACCTGGAGCTCGGGCCTGCGAGCCACCGCCGCAACGTGGGCGATGGTGAGGCTGACGCCCTCCAAGGAAACGAAAGTGGACTCGGAGAACGTCCTGATGAAGCTCTTCACCTCGTCGAGGTGGCTGCCTTCCATGGCTTTGGCGGTGCGCTTCCAGTTCAAGGGGTCCGCGGACAGAGCAGGCAGGGGCGCACTGATACAGAACGCGCTGGAGTCCACAAGCATGGGGTCGTGGTGGCCGTTGCTGTGGTCCACGCCGTTGCAGTGGTCGGTGCCCCGGTTGTCAACTTCCTGTCCTGGCATTGCCATCGGCATGGTGTAAGTTTCGGTTCACAGCGACAAGGAAATTGTCGGATGGATCAGAGCCAGCTGCAGTCCAGCGGCCGCGACGTTCTCTTAGCAGTTGGTGGTCGGCAAGCCAACCGATCCTGATCAGAGAACAATTCTGACCAGCATGCGAGTATGTGCAACCCCAGATTGGCGTCGGTCTCAGTCCTGCATTTCCTTAGAGCCCTTCTCCTGAACGCTGGATACCGATCTTCCCCCAACCACGACTGCTGAACCGCTATCGATTTTTCAAATAGACCAGTTCCTAGTATATTACCGCTCCCTATCCGCCTCGCTACTTTCTACTCATGCGCCTGCTATGGAAGAATGGCTGAGTGCAGTCTAAACTGTATACGGGCTTGTTGACATCCCCGACAACCACCAGTCCTCCGTCGATGAAGAGGCAGTTGCTGCAGACTCGTTCTAGCTATATGAAGATGACCTTGCTCTACAAACTAAGTGGCGAAATATAGATACCGAACCACGAGTTGGAATCACCTGGTGGGGTCCGCAGGTCCGGATCGATCGATGATCTGGAGCGTTCGATCACTTGGCGCATGTTCGAGTGACCAAGTGCTGCCCACGCGACGCTCGCACAGTTAGCAGGTGCAGCCGATGGAAAGGGTGTCCGAGGTCACTCATCGGGTGCAAGCTCCCTAGGCTGGATGATGAAAATTGGCTACCGGAACGGGAAGCTTTCGTGGACGCTTTTTCTCGCTATTGACTAGAGACGCAAGAAAAGAACGCAGTTCAACCATGAAAGGAAGGAACCCACTGGGTCGGTCCATTGACGATATCGGGAAGTCATTCTGATCCTAAATTTGGTGAGGCGTAACAGCGGCTTTTTGATATCAGTTATCTTAGTTGCGGAGATATTTGATTCTTTGGTCAAATACTGCGCTACTTTCCCCGTGGTCTTCCTAGACTTCATTGACTGCAGTTTTGAGGGGTAGAGCACGGTGAGATGCAACCGTAAACAGTCTGGATCAGTGAAAGGGGGGTGTCTTAACTACGCGTCTCTTGGATCATTTCGCTGTTGATCCCTGACTGGCGGTGGGTTGCAATGCACTTGTGAAAAGCTGTACAAGCAAGCTGCAGAGATTAGGCTTTGCCGGTGCTAGATAACCCAAGGTGAAGTTAATTGCAGTGAGCAACGTGTAGCCATGCAGGCGGGCAACCTGGTAACTCCAGGGCTTGCAGGTAGGTTGGTCCTCCACGCACCAACCCTTGACCCACGGCGATCGATTGGCGAGAGACCATGTTTCTGGTTCCCTGAAGTTGGTGGTTACGTGATCAAAGAGGGAATCAGTCGGTTTGGTCGTGTCCTGGCTGACACTGCAATGACACTGCAAGGCGGTTGGTCCCCGTGCTCTCGTGCGGGCAAACCCGAACGGTGGTCTTCGAGCCCAATCCCGGGGCAGCCAGAGCAAAATTCGTGTGACTTATTCGCAGAAAGGTGCAAGCTGCAAGAATTGTTAATGTTTTGATTAGGGCGCCCTCATGAAGCATGACTTCCATAATTTCAAAGAAGGTTGTCTGGATAGAGATGGTGTTGGGCGGGATGATTTGGAAGCGGCTTCATGGTCAATCGTTCCAAGTCAAATTGGGGCCACAAATCCTGGAATGGTCAGCAAACGTCCACTTCTTGCCGTCAGGGCTTCGGTTCACCTATGACTAGAAAAACTCCACAAGCTGTAACATGTTAGGACGTTCAGGAGTGAACTGTAAGTCCCATGACCTTTTACATCACCGAAAAGTGATGGGATACAACTGCAGCCGGGGAGTGTTTTGGTTTATACCAACCACAATGGTGGTGAGATTTGGGAGCTTCAAGTGAACAGTTGGACCAACCAAGGAAGGATGGGAAGCTGGTTGGTGTAGGAGATGTGATGAGACCGCAATATTATGCCCCTGGGTCGTCAGCCCTTGCTGTAGGCCACCCTTTGGCGAGACATGAAGGAGTCCGGCAAATTACTGCCGTGGCTGGTCTGGTGGCTCGACTCAACGTCAACCGATGCGGGCACTGACGTTGGACACAGGAACCAGGCCATCCACAGTGGTTCACAGTTGTTGGATCGCAGGGAGCGAACCCCAGCACCGGGTCACGCCCCCACATTCAAACAAGGTTCGTCAACCCATGCGAAAGTGGGAACCCTAAAGCGGTGTCCAAGGGAGAACTCAGCACACAGAGGGGGCACTTTCTCACACTCGCAGCACCCAGCTTTGAAGATGGGGGAGTCCCCCACGACTGGAGATGTAAACGAAAGTGGGCTCAAGCGGGCACCTGGCGGCAGCTTTTTGGGGTCAAAGCCATGTCAAATCCTGTTTGGCGCAATACCTTTTTCAACGCCAAATCTCTTTTGATGCGTTGCGATTCTGCGGAGAGCATTTGGCGGAGTAGCAGCGCCGAGAGCGGGGGGCCCATCTTCGTGGCTGGAAGAGTCATAAAGCCAGTCTTCGATGCGAGAAAGGGGGAAGAAGGGCCTGCCTGGGTGAAGGTTTTGGAACAGTGTATGGGAGTAATGGAGCAAGTCGGAAACATGACAAGAAAATCAACACTAACTCAAAGCGTTGAAAGTCATTTTTTTGGAAACTTTGGCTGAATATGGCAATGGAACACACGAAAGTCCAATCAGTTTGAGATTTGGTGTTGGAAGGAATAAATAGTGATTGAAGAATTATTGTTTATTCTAGAACCGTCATGCCTCAAAAGGGAGTGGATTTGTCACCATTCTCTGCGGCTGTTGTGTTTTTTTGTACTACGTTAATTATTTGGATTGTGCTAGTTTAATCATTTATCCAATCCAATTTAAATATAGCGCTAATGAACATTTTATTTCAAGTTTCTTAGTAATTGTTGGAACTTAATATAATCTCTTAGTTAAGGATTTGTTTGGCATGTTTTGTGAAAATGTGCATTTTAAACTTTCTTGACAATAGGACCATAACACATGTAACAATTGTTTTAGAGAATAAATTTCAAATAGGTATTTAGTGGCAATTGAGATTGTTTATTATGTTTCATAAAAACTTATTATTATAGTAATTATTATTTATCCACTGTTTGACTAATCTTTTATGAACATTTTATATAATTATTTTATTTCTTTGTTTTTCTTTGTCTTAAATCTATTTTCGAAGCTCAAAAAGTAAAAATGAAACTTTAATTACATTGATAAATAAATCATGGAAGAATTAGAATAAATTATATAAAAAATACTATCAATTTTATAAAAAGTTATAAATTTTAATGTAAAGATTTAAAATTTTTTAAGAAATTTTGTGCTTAAAGATATTTTGTTATAAATATAAGATACATTAGGTTTTCTTTGATTGTTTTATATTCCAAACATTCTTTAAAAATTATAATCAAATATTAGATTTTTAATAAAGATTTTGAAAGTGTAATAAATATCTTTTTAAGACAATATTTTGTTCATTAAAAAGATTAAGCAATCTTCTTACTCTTCTTAATAAACTTTGATTAGATATTGATATTAAAATAAGTTTAAATACTAATTCTAAAATAATTTTGAAATTTATGAATCTTCTAATCTTTTATTTTCATATATATATATATATATATAAGGAGTTGTTAAAGCCACACCTTCCTTGCTACTTCATAATCCATTTTGTACATGTTTCCTTTCTCCAACCTCATTCTCAACCACTATTGCTTATTTTCATGCTTTGTTCCTAGCCACTATTTCCACCTGCCTTCACAGTAAATATAAGTACAAGTCAAATTGATTAAAATGAAGCAAAAATCATGAATTAGGTATAATAAATCCAAAGCAGAGAAATTTAATAAAATAATTTCTAGTTGAAGAATATCAATTTAAAAAATTCTTAGCACATTTTTTAATATGATTATACATACATGCATATAAAATAATACTTTAATATATTAAAATATTAATTTATATTTATTCATGAAAATAAAAAAACTTATTGTAAATATTTCTTAAAAAAAAAAATATATATATATATTTAAACTATATGGTACAAAGCCATAAGATAGTATATACTAATTTCATATAAATGTTTTCTTTCAAAGAATCAATATTCCATAGCATTGTGTATTCTTTTGATATACTTGTAACAAGTTTCATGTAGGAAATATAAATTTTGCTAAATTTTTTTTTATTAATATTTTAATTTATAATATATATATATATATATATATATATATATAAAATTTAAATTATAAAAAGAATCATTTTGAAGTTAGCTATAATTTTCATTTGTGAAGTCAAATAACTTTTAGAATAAAAATAAAATATCAATAAGCTAGTAAATTCAATTTTTTTTTAGATTTATATTCCTATCATTAAAATTAAAAATTATTTTATTTATTATTTTATACTTAAAATATAAAACTATGAATTTATTATTTTTTACTTTATAGAAATTAATTCTTGAAGTTGTGGTTTATAATTCAAATGATTTGATTTTTTTATAGTTATTAACATAACATTTCATTGAAATAAGATTGTTTAACTTTATTAATATGAATATTAGATGAAATTGAAGATGGTTCCAAAAATAATTTATTTAAGAGTTTTTAATTTTTTTTATAATTACAAATACTTCTAAAAATGCCAAAAACTTGTCACATTCTCAAATATGATATGTTGTATGTAAATAAATCGAGATATTTTTGTATATTTTTACATAGATAATAAAAATATAAATCTACAGCAACTAAAGAAGGCTGAAATATATAATTTATATAATTATTTGAATAATATTTGATAGCCTAGAGTCTTTAATCTTCATAAAATCAAATATAATAGTAAATATCTTCTTTTATGTGTAATATGTGAAACAAATTTATTTTGGTGATCATCTTTGAAACTTAATTAATTTTTTTATAAAATCCACTAATAGCATGGTACTTTGATACATTAGTTTAATAATATTCATGATATCATTAATAATTCTATAAAAAAAAAAAAAAAAAATACTTACTTCATGTTATCTTTTTAGATATAAAATAAAAAAATAAAAAATACTAAAAAAATTATTTATAGCAATTAAAATTTTAACTTATTTTGAAAAAATAGTGAATTTTTGAAATCCGTACTTAAGACGGGGAGGAAGGGAAGTACATTGGAAATGAAGTAGAGATAAATGTGAAGGTAATTTTTTCCCTCAATCTAAATTATAAAATGGTCTCAATTAAAAGTTTTTTTTATAATTGGTGATGTAAAATAGAAGATGTAATAAATAAGAACAAAAGAAAGAACAACACAAAATAAGTGAAATAAGTGTAATTAAGCAATTGCATACAACAAAAGTAGCTAATAGTCTATTTATTGAGTTTTTATCCAATAAAAAGTAAATATAAATATTATAAAATATATTTTAAAATAAATAATGATATGAAAAACATTTAAATACAAATTATTATGAATAAGTCATAAAAGTTTAAAGATAGGAAGTGAATAATTGAAAAGTTA